TCCCTTTTTTTTTTTTTTGAAAAGGTAATAATCTATATATATATAATTGAGGGAATAGAGAAGATGACCTGGCACCTCTCATAAGCCAAGAAATCTATTTATCTTTTTTCTCTATTTTTTACATTTTCCCCATTCAATAGTTTTATTTTATTTATTTTAAAGTCCAAAAGTCATGTCCCTTGAGCGATAATCAATGAAAAATAAGTGCAGAAGTCATTATTAATGAATAAACAATCGTTTTTCCCCAAGAGAACCCAATGGCAATATTTTATCACATGTAACAATTATGTACCGAATCTAATTCCTCATTGCAATGGTAAGGAATTTTTGTATATGAATGTTGATGGGTTTTTAGTTTTTGATGCGTTGTCAGTTTAAACGGTTGTAGTTATTATTAATTGTTATTATTCATTTCTGCTTTTTTAGTTTTTCTAATTTTGTTGATCTTAGTTGGGAAGTTTGTACTTTGAACTGTGTTTTAAGCCTTTTTCTGCTTGAAGTGTAGAAAATTGGAATTTGTTGTGCTTAGCGTGTTAGTTTCTGATGTTTTTTTTTTTTTGAGAAGGTAACATATTTGTATATTAGTATATAGACTTCACTAAAATTGTGAAATCACCCATAATTACAAACGGGAGTGCCCAAAAAAAAGAAAACACTTATAATCCTTGGTCTTCTCACAAGGAATCTAGCACATCAAAAACGGATTCATGATCCTCCAAAAACTTTCCTTTACACCAAAAATAAAAAAAGAGCTAGACATTTCATCTTCATCTTCTGAATGTTACTGGACTTGTCTTCAAAACATCTCTGATTGCTCTCTTCCCAAATTGTCCACCATATGCAGGCTGGGACAATTCTCCATCTCTTTATGACTAGAAAGATTGCCCTCTTTATTCCAGCAAGCTAGAACATCAAGTAATCTTTCCGGCATTGCCCATAAAATTCTCCTTAAGCTGATGAAGATTCTCCATATTTCTACAGTGAACTTGCAATGCAAAAAGAGATGACTAATTGTCTCTGCCTCCTCTCCACATAAGTAACATCTAGAGCACAAGTGGTAACCTCTCTTGATTAATTTCTGATGTTTTCATTCTCTTTATTTTTGGTATCATTGATTTTGACTTTGTGCTTTTTTTTCCAGGGTGATTGGTGTATGTAGTTGCAGTATTTGGAATATTTTGTTTCCTCAGAAATTGTGGAGTCGTCTTTTAGTTAGCATATCTTGAAGCAATTGTGAGACGTTTAAAGTTTATCATGATGGATGACAATTGATGCATAGTGCACATTATTTCTTTTTGTCCAAAAGGAAAAATGCTTGTGCCAATAGATTTAATTTCATGTGAAAAAGAAACGACGGTAAAATAATTTTATGTTTTTATCATTTATTTTTAGTAATTTTCTTTACACCTAAACCAACATATACAAGGATTCAAATACAGAAATACTTTCTTCAATTATTTATTTTTCTTTTTTCTTTCCCCTTATCTTTTTTTTTTGGTTTTCAAATAGTAGGTGACATTTCGATCGCTATAAAATAAATTTCTGAGTAAAGTGTAGTTTACGAGAGAAAAACTTTTGAAGAATTCCTTCCTATAAATTCTGGTCAATTTCGTTGTATCTTTTAGAGAAAAGTTTCTTTCCTTTTTGTTACTAAAAGCAGGTGGAGACTGGTATGTGAAGCATCTGAATTATGTTTATCATGCATTTTCGGACCTAAGGCTATATCCCATGTATGGTCGTAATTCATAGTATAATTTTCTAAAAGTTACCTACTTGTATACTTATTTAACAATATTTTTGTTGTGTCAGTAATATCTAATTTTAGAATATTTTGTTGTTCTAAGATGGAAATATGGGAGGTGATTATACGCGAAAAGTGATTGGAGCAAAAATGTCTATATATGAAGGGAGTGTTAAATTGGTAATAAAATTTATTTGATGAAAAAATATATTTTTCAAATTTTACGAAAAATTAGTGGGAGGGAAAAGAAGAATAAATTTGATTATTTTACAAGGGATAACAAATTCTAAATATTTGAAGTGAAATAACAACTATGGGTTGGAAGAAAAGAGAGGAGAGAATCAAAGAAACGGAAGACATGAAAAGGAAAAGAAGAGGGAAAAGGAAAAAAAAGAATCATGTAAGGGAAGGGGGAAGAGAAAGGAAACAAAGAAGGAAACTTTGGAAAATAACGTTCTAACCCAATAATAAATGAATAAAATACAAAAAACACATCTTATATTGCTTGATTTGACCTTATAAAAAATAAACTAAATAAATACAAAATACACACCAAATATCATTAACTCAAACACTTACAGAATTGTAGAAAATGAAAGTACTCTTTGAGAAATATAACAAAATATGTGTAGAATAATAGGAAAAAAATTATCAAGTCTAAAGTTTCTA